AGGATTGGAAAATTAGAGGTTTTAGAACCATTGGATGGTAGTGATCATAACATAGTTAAATTTGAGGTTAATTTTAGTGTCAGAAGAGCAAAGTCTAAATTAAAAGTTTACAATGTTAGGAAGGCTAACTTTAATGGTATGAGATGGAAACTAGAAACTGTAAACTGGACGGAGTTAAATAGCAAAACAGTTGAAGAGGCATAGGAATTTTTTAAAAGCCAAAGGGGAAAGAGGGTTTGCCTGAAACTGTATTTTCTCTTTTGAGTAAATATGAGCATGAAAAAACACTGAATTGTGATTAGAAGATGAAATTTCTATTTAATGTTTAAAGTTTGAATTAAACGATTAACTCTTGTTACAACGTTTGAGTTATAATAAGTTGTCCTTGATGACAACTTATTTTTGTCTTTTAAAAAGTTCACTAAAAACATGTATAACTTTTTATCCAAGTTAAACAAACCAAAATTATTTTAACGTGAGATCATGACGCGCTTTTATTATCCGATCGAGCGAGCACGTAAATACCTGTGATAGCGTAACAAACAAGTAAAAAGAAAAAGACCACCATTCGGACAGACACATCTAACAACTGAAGGGTATGCAAATGTTACAGGGGTCCCAAGCAGCATAACAAGGCTTGTGTAGTAATATCAAAATCGATCAAAATTTATTTACATGGAATGCACAAACAAAAGGATGGCGAAGACACCATAAAAATGAAATATAGCAGAGCGTGCGTTGGTTAAATTCGCAACGTTAGCCTCCTAAAGGCACAAGGGAATTTGACTTGCAGGCAAAATCGTAAAAACAGAAATTCCTGGGGAAAATGACCATCTGAAACTCAATATATTTTTAAATTAATTTCCGATTTATTTCCTAATATCTTAAGTTTAAAATATGCTTGCACCCATTGTATAGAATATTAAATATGACGTGCATGCTTTCGAGAAGCAGTTTCCGTAGCAAAATGAAATTATTTGGAAGAAAGCGAATATATCTTGCCGTTTCCATTGCGCGCACACAAACTCCTCGATAGCTTTCAGTTCATAGAGACTCACCGTCCAGCTGCAAGCGGCCTCTGATACCTGATAACTAAGGGGGAGGTTATAGTCGCGATGGGAGGCGACAAGACACGACAACATCCAAAGTGCGCAAATAAGGAAGTAATGATACCTTTAATTAGGAATATTTAACGGTAACACTTTATAATACTGTTCCGTAGTTAACAGGTAAATATGCAAGAAGTAAGCAGCAACAAAGGTGTAGTGCTTCATTAACACCTAAATTGGTACTATTAACTATACTAAGGAATTATGCTTAATTACTCAATAGGTAATAGTAAACTAATTATTATAGTAGTTCGCTATTACTTCATTAGGAACTATTGAGTATTGCTGGTCTCATTGGGAATTATGTACTAACTATGGATTATTTCTAATAACTACTACTTCATTACTCATCAAATGAACAGTGCTTTTTTGTTTGACTAACAGGAACTTACAGGCTACTGTTCTCAATTGTTTTTGCCATTTTTTTCCTTTTGGAATAACAGGCTTGTTTCTTCCTACTTGTTTGTATGACATACAACTTATTCTACAAAATATTACTGCCTAAAATATGTATACAGTACCTACATTTTAATTATCTACCTCACTTCAGTCCGTGTGCCAGTGTTCTTCAAACTGTGCTTTGAAGTCCAACTGAAGGGATGGTCAATCAGAGACTCGTGTTTTGCCACATGATCTGCTCCACCACATATTGTTGATCTTTTCTAAACATTAAGAAATTAATGTATGTATTTTAAATAAGGAATGAAGTCTTACTAATGACCTAAATAAAACTAATTGTAACTCATTAGTAATGAATGTGGCGTTACTGACTTCTTCAATAGGAGTTACTAAAGAACAAGAACAGTATTATAAAGTGAAACACACTGTAACTCATTAGTAATTAATGTGGCGTTACTGACTTCTTCCATAGGAGCTACTAAAGAACAAGAACAGTATTATAAAGTGAAACACACTGTAACTCATTTGTAATTAATGTGGCGTTACTGACTTCCATAGGAGCTACTAAAGAACAAGAACAGTATTATAAAGTGAAACACACTGTAACTGTACTCAATAGTAATTAATGTGGCGTTACTGAGTAAGCTATTTCACTGAGTTTTTTTAATTTTACATTTAATGAGTTCTTTTTAAAGGGTTAATAAGAACAATGAATGTTAACATAGCTTATTTGTTTCACTTAAACATTCATGTAACACTTCATGACACAACAGCATGAGTTCATTTTACACATTTAATTTGTTATATTAACATCACAACTTAATTTTTAAAATCAAATAACTTTACATTGATTACACATCCATCCCATTAAAACTATTTACACAGGGTATTGCTTTCTGATGTCATGTAACACATGTCCAAGTGGTCCATCCTTGTGCTTTTGGCCCAGCCAGCAGGTCCACTCAATCGGTCTTTGTCCGCTGACGTCACACTTGCTATAGCCGCAGTGTAATGTGGGCCAAATCGCCATTTTGGTTGTATACAACGCAAGAGAGAGCGTATCAACAATATGTGGTGGAGCACATCATGTGTCAAAATACGAGTCTCTGATTG